CAAGTGAGGGCGCGTTGCGAAAGTGCAACACCCCTGCGTTACAAACACGTAACACCTACTCCTAAGAAAACATGTTTGAAGGACCTGTCACGGGCAACATCCCGGAGGTCCTGGACAACGGAGAGGTGACTGACGGCACGCACGTCGCAGCAGGACAGCTGGCCCTCGCTCTGACTCCCTACGCTCAAGTGACTGACCTGGCGGTGAACACGGCAGCCTCCGGCAACAACGCCGCTGCCATCCAGTCCCTGGACGACCGAGTCACCGCCGAGCTGGCCTCAAAGCTGGACAGCAGCGCGCTGGCGCCGGCAATTGCGCCCCTAGCAACGGCGCGGCCCTGGCCACCACGGACGGTCAGGTGGCCGCGCACGGAAGCAGCATCGCAGCGCTGCAGAGCTCGCTGACCACGGGTCTCTCCAACAAGGCAGACCAGTCGGCCTTCGACGTGCTGGAGGGCGTGGTGGCCACTAAGAGCACCCCGGACGGCGTGGACCTGAAGCTGTCCAACTACAGCACCACGGCGGCCATGAACGGTTCCATCGCCTCGGCCAACAACGCCACGCTGGCCACGGTGGCCGCCAACTACGGCCTCAAGACGGTGGTGGACCAGCACTCCCTGGACATAGCGGCGAGGATCACGCCGCTGGAGGTGGACACCAAGGTGGCCAACGCTCTCCTGGGGGCCGTCACCGCCGCGGCGCTGGCCTCCGAGCTCGCGAGCCGAGACGCCTCCATCTCGGGGCTGCAGGCCTCCAAGGCAGACGCCAGCGCCCTGACTGCTTACGCCCTGCAGTCGGCCGTGGACACTTCCTCGGAGGTGGACTCTAAGATAGCGACGGCCCTCTTGGACGCCGTCACCACGGCAGCCCTGGACGCCGCCCTCCTCGGCAAGGCGGACGCAAGCGCGCTGGCCTCCCTGCTCTCCACGGTGGACGGGTTGGACACGCCGCTGGAGGTAGACACCAAGATAGCAAATGCCCTGCTGGGTCTCGCCACCGAGGCCTTCGTCGCAGCGCAGCTTGCTAGCCGGGACGCCAGCGTCACGGCGCTCCAGGGGGCCAAGGCCGACGCGACGCTGCTGGCCTCATACGCCACGAACGCCGCGCTCTCGCCAGCGAGACCACGCTCCAGAGCGCCCTCGACGCAATCCTCGCGGAGCTCGCCGCCCTGCAGCTTTCCGGCAGCGGCGGAGTTGTTAACGCGCCGGCCTGGGCGGGCTTCACGACTTGGGAGCTCTTTCGCGGAAGTAACGTCGTTCGCAACCTGCATCTGGGGGCTCCTCTCTCTGCTGCGCTGGCCAACGGCGACAACACGCTGAGCATCACGGCAGACTGCTACTCCACGGCGGGCACTGTCGCTGCCATAACAGCAGCCTTGCTGGCCTACTACACCTCGGCGCAAGTGGACACGCTGTTGGGAGACTACCGCACAGGGGCAGCGCAGGACGCGGAGACGACCAGCGCCATCACGGCCGCGCTGCTGCCCTACTACACCTCCTCACAAGTAGACGCGCTGTTGGGAGACTACCGCACGGCGAGCGCGCAGGACACGCAGACGCAGGCCGCCATCGCGGGAGCGCTGCTGGCTTACCGGACGGGCCCGGACCAGGACGTGTTCACAACCAACCAAATCACCTCGGCGCTGGTGGCGTACCGTTCAGCCGCAGACCAGGACACGGCAACGGCCTCGAGCATTGCAGCCGCGCTGCTCAGCTACTACACCATCGCACAAGCAGACGGCCTCCTCGCCGGCAAGCTCGGAGTCACGGAGGCAGCCTCGGCGCTGCAGATAGCAGTGCGCTTTCCGGACGACGGAGGGGCCGACGAGGTGGTGGCCGCCATAGGAGAGCAGATCCTGGGCCCCACGGACGTCTCGCTGTCAAACTGGACGGTTCGCCCCAGCAGCGGCTGCAGCGTGGTCCTGGCCACGCACACCGCGGGAGTAAGCGTGGACGGCTACACCCTGACCCTGGCGGCGAACCCGTGGAACATCGTGCGCACCTACAACTTGACCCCGGGCCGAGAGCTCCTCTTCGCCTGCCGCTACCGGCTCGGCACGGCCTCCAACTTCGTGGTGTACATGTCAGAGGCAGACAACGTCTACGACCCATTGTACGGCAGCTTCGTGGGCGACCAGGGCGCCTGGAGCACGGCCAAGATGTACTTCACAGTGCCGCCCAACGGGGTGGCGAAGCTGCACTTCGGCGCGCACTTCCAGGCGCCGGGCCTGCCCAACCAGACGGCAGGAACGGTGGACGTCTACGGCCTCCAGATCCTGGACGCAACCCTGGAGACCGGCAACACGGCGGAGGTGGAGGAGGACACGGCGGCTTCGGCGCTGCTGCTGAAGCACGAGTTCCTCGACGGAGGGGCCGACGACGTCACGCTGGCCACCCTGGGCGAGGTGCTGCTGGAGCCCACGCTCACCACGCTAGGCAATTTTCTGGTGCGCTCCACAGCCAGAGCTCCGTGGCCTCGGCCAGCTTCACGGTGGGAGGCTTCCAGCTGGAGGGCTACGCCATGACCCTGAGCGCCTTCGCCTGGAACATCGTTCGCACCTACACGCTGACGCCGGGGACTCTCTCTGTTATTTGTGAAATCTAAAACCGCTCACAGCGCATCCTCAGAGGTTATCATTCAGCAAATGTGGATTCTGCGAAAATTTGGTGGTTTTGCGCGGTGCGGCCACAGCCCTTCTGCTTGCACTTCTGCAAGGGTTTTCCGCCTGCTTCAATATGCAGGCAAAACGGGTTCTAGTCGCATTCTGTGCGTCTCGGAATTTTAAGTTGCCCGGGCTTAAAGTGCTGTTTCTGGCCTTGTAAGTGCGTTTCTGTTGCGGAGCTTTGTGGCTCGAAAAGCATGATAAGTGCTTTCTAAGCGCAACGGTAACTCAGAGCAGAAGGGTGGAATTCTCTTGGCCTCATTTGCTGCATGTGAGCCTTGGGTTGCGTCTCCGTCAATCCTCCGGCAACAGGATTGCATTGCTGGGTTAGGGCTCGCTTCAGCTGCCGGCTTCCGGAACTTGCGTAACGCAAAAGGACGAATGGGGAAGATCAAGCTTTTCCCCACGCCTGAGTACACCAGCAAGCAAGCCTCGGACCCCGTGGTGCCCCTGGTGCCATGCACGGGCATCTTCCTTGGGCCCAGCAAGTCGGGCAAAACTGTGGCGCTCATCAGTCTCATCCTGGAGCAGTACAAGGGCGTGTTTGAGCGGATCTACGTTTTCAGCCCAAGCGTCAACATCGATGATGGCTGGATCCCCGTCAAGAAGTACATCGAGCAGGACCTGGGGGTGAACACGGAGCGTGAGCAGGCTGTTTCTGGCCTTGAGTGGCGCAGTGGTTGACGTGTTGAGCCCCGTACCCAACTCGCCGTCCGGGCAGGAATCGAGCCGCGTGGAGTAAGAAGCGCTCAGTTCCTTGACCGACGCCTTAGCCACTGGACTAAGGCGTCGGCGAAAACATATGTAAACATGTTTGAAGGACCTGTCACCGGCAACATCCCGGAGGTCCTGGACAACGGAGAGGTAACTGACGGCACGCACGTCACCGCAGGGCAGCTGGCCCTCGCTCTGACGCCCTACGCGCAAGTAACGGACCTGGCGGTGAACACGGCAGCCTCCGGCAACAACGCAGCGGCCATCCAGTCCCTGGACGACCGGGTCACCGCAGAGCTGGCCTCAAAGCTGGACAGCAGCGCGCTGGCGCCGGCAATTGCGCCTCTTGCCACGGCGGCGGCCCTGGCCACCACGGACGGACAGGTGGCCGCGCACGGAAGCAGCATCGCAGCGCTGCAGAGCTCGCTGACCACGGGTCTCTCCAACAAGGCAGACCAGTCGGCCTTCGACGTGCTGGAGGGCGTGGTGGCCACGAAGAGCACCCCGGACGGCGTGGACCTGAAGCTGTCCAACTACAGCACCACGGCGGCCATGAACGGCTCCATCGCCTCGGCCAACAACGCCACGCTGGCCACGGTGGCCGCCAACTACGGCCTCAAGACGGTGGAGCTGGCGGGGGACGACGAGAACTTCGTGGTCACGACGGACAAGAAGGACCTGGCTACCAGGGTGGCCCGCAGAGGCGGCCAGTGGAGCGACCACTTCAAGCAGGCCGCGTCGGCCTACAACGCGCGCCCCCACGAGGGAGGACGTCGAGAAACAGCCGGCCACCGAGTTCAGGGCGCTGCAAGACAACGCCGACAGGTTCCAGCACAACAAGGACTTGACGAACCGGCGCATGAAGGCCATAGAGGACGCGGGGGCGTTCGGGCGCCTACCAACGCGGCGAGGAGCTTCAACCTCCAGTACGGCAACGTGCAGCAGCTGCGGGACGTGGACTCCATGACCGTCCGGAGCACCGAAGGCCGGGAGACCCTGCTGAAGCTGGCGCTGCCGGCGCCCCAGGGCAGCGGCAACGCAGCGGCGCGGCTGACGAGGCGGGGCAGACCGGCTGCGGTGGGGCAGCTGGACGACTTCCTGGGGCCCAGGCGGCCCAGAAGCGATTCGGGCCGCTGACCTTCTTGAGCAGACTTGACGGAAGCAACATGCCTTAGCTTGTGGAGAGAAGTTTTAGCCCAAACACGACTTTGCGAATCTCGACCTTAGAGCGATCCCTGGACCCCGCCCAAAACGGCCATTCAGCTTGTTGATGCAAGCCTGACACCCATGGAACATGTGACGCCTCTTGTGACCTTAATTAAGTCCGCCCTGCTCCCACCTGCTGGCGCGATTTTTGTACACTCACAAAAGTTTCAGCACGTCCAGCTGCGCAATGATAGTCTCGCAACTCTTTGGAGAGTGTTTCTTCTCCTCGTGACGTCTGGCCCATGTCTTGTTTGTAAAGGACTGCCAGCCTTCAGACTCAATTCAAATCTGCAGCAACACATTTTGCAGTCCTCAAAGTTGTCCTTCTTCGCCTTGTCCTGCAACTTCAGGCCGCCTGCATCCTTTTTCTCTCCATAACGACATTGCGCTGCGATGAACTCGAGCTTACCAGTTGCCTTGCATCTCACAGGGATCAAAAGGTCGTTGTGAGCCGTTGCAGAATTCCGGTTGGACTTGATGGCCTTCCCAACGTCACTCATGACAGTTGCTTCATTGCCTTGGCCGCTTGGATATTCCACACCATCACTCCAGCAAACTTCGAACGGCTCCAAAACAGCTCGCAAGTGAATCCTCCGTAGGGTAGATCTCCAAAAAAGGTGACTTCAGCACTCAGGTTTCTTGCTATACAGTGAAGGCGGAAAACCGAGCCTGGCGCATGCGAGCCCCGGGCCTCCGTGTCGCTGTCCTGGCACGATTGCAACTGGCCAAATTTGCAACTGATGATTGGAGCGTCCTGCTGCGGGCTGGCGCGCAAAGCAACTCCGCCACGCCCAGCATGCCAGCGTCTCACCTCAAGAGGAGCTGAGAATCCAGGCAAAAAAAAAAGCAACACCGAGACCTGGCGGACCAATTGCAACACACAACACAGGAGGCCCGACTCACACGCCCCAGTGCAACGGACGGCCTCTTCCAAGCCCTAAGGTCTGCTTTGGCCTGCGTCGCACGAAAACCGCTTGTTTACAAGAAGGCTGGTTCTGCTGCCTGGGCTGAATGCACTTCTGGCTGGGTGGAAGGGAAAAGACCAACCGAAGAAAGCCAGCCGTGGGAGCGACAAATAACTTCTCGCCAGGCCTCAAGTCTTTCTGGCCAGCAGCTTTGCGTGGACTATTGAAAACCGAGACGAATGCGCCAGGTTGGCCCTATTTCCTCATCGTGGCCCTTGTCGCTGCCATGGCTCGTGATGACGCTTGCAGGAGAAAGGGTTTTCTGTGACACACAGCATGCGGTTGCAACTACCGCTGACAGTGGGAGAATACACACGGCAGGAGCACACGGCAGGAGCACTGGATCTCAAGTCTACACAGACGAAAAACACCGCAAAAAATCTCGCGTCCAGCAACCGCCACACACACACACATCTTTTTTTGCAACGCGGAGCCCTGTCTGTGCCTTTGCCTTCAGCTTCAGGTTTCACCCAAAGCCCGCAAGCTTGTTTTGCAGAGGCTTGCCACGCTTCTCGAAGAACAGTCGAAGGGGCCCGGTCCTCTCCAAGAGGAGTTCCGCGAGGCCCACCTCGTTGAAATAGACGTTGGGATTGTCAAGGGACCGGCCCTCTTTAGTGCTCTCAGTGGTGTAGAACACGGGCAAGGCTTGGAGCACCTTCGGATTGGCTTGGAGGCCAGCCAGTGCTTTTTTCGCCTTGTCTTCCACCGAGGGCCACTTGCCCACGAACTCCTGTACATACTTGGTTTGCACGCCAAGAATCAATAGATGGGCGTTTGGGTCCTTCTCCCCAGGCCCTGTCGGCTGCAAGCTTCGAAGCAGCTGTCGGTGATCTTTGCGCGGAACTGTCCATGGCACCAAATACTCGATCCCTTTCTCAGTGCGCTTCTGGGACACCACGATGCTGCCGTACTGTAAGGAGCTCATCACCTCGTCAACGTCGTCAAAGGAATCGAGCTCCACCACCGAGTTCTGTCGGTGCCGCAACCCAGACAGCACGAGCACTTCTCGCAGGCTCTCCGGTTTCAAGCTCGCCCCTGGGAAGAGCTGCTCCAGCGTGCAGCTTTCCTGCTCCAATGCCAAACGCACCGCAGCATCGAAGTGAAGCATGACGGTCTCAAACTTCTTCTCATGCGCGGCCTCAATGACAGCATCCTCTTCAAACATCTTCTTGATCTGGTTTGCCAAGGGCTCACGGTGGCTTTCAGCCCAGCTTTGCAAAATGAGCGGGTGCAAGACTGACTTATGGCCAGAGTTGCCAAACTGCACGGCCTGGACTAAGCCGCGGGAGACAAGGTCGTCCTGTACTCCAGTCGCAATGATCGCACTGGGTGAATACCACTGTCTGACCTCGTCACTCTGCAAGGATTTGCCCTGGTCAAGCTTGGCAAAGCTTATCATTATCATGCGAAATTGGGCCAACGCAAAGGTGGTTTCAGGCACTCCACAGACAGAAAACGCATCCTGTAAAGCATCAAACGTCAAGCGCGGATGGCCAAGGAGCTGTCGCAACAGCTGTCGTCTGCCAGGTGTTTGCTCGAAAGCATTGCGAATCTCCTGAGGTACCCTGTCCAAGGAATCAGGTGGCAAAGCCTTCAAGGAGATCAGTGTCGCAATTTTGCGGCCAGACTGGCTTGCTCGCTCCTTCATGTAGCTCTCGAAGAGCGCTGTCCAAATGAAAATAACAGGAAACTCTCCCGAAATAAGAGATGCGTCTTGGGTGTTCATGAGGGTGGAGATGAAATTGCAGCACGGCTTGGTGCCGCATTTTTGTTCCAGCTGCATGACCTCGTCCACCCCCACCACAAGAAGCTCCTTTGACAATCCCAGCTTCTGCTGCAGAGCCCGCATCACCTTCTTCCATGGAAGGACCGCCGAGCACCATTCAGCGTCATCCCGCCGCATGCCGGCGCTCTGAAGGAGCACCTGTGCGAAGGCATTTTCTGGGCCCTTGCTTGCATCCCATTCGCTGCCTCCATTGAAATCCACGTGCAGTCCGACCTTCGCCCCAGTTTCGTTGAGCCAAGTGGTGCACATCTCATGCAGGAGGCGAGTTTTGCCGATTCCCTTGACGCCGGCCGTCGCCTTCATGCTGCACTTTGGCAGCGTCCCCTGCTCCCAGTGGATTGAATTGGCAACATCCATGACCCCGCGAATGTATTCAAGGAGTTCCCGCTTGGCCTCCGTGCGCCCCAACAATGCAGGTTTCATCGGTGCTGGCCTGCGCAGCGTCCAGCTCGACGATAGGATGGCCTGGCAATGTTGCATTTTTCCGCATTTTTGCTGCGTGGTTGCGAAATATTCTTTTTGGCTCTCCAAAACCACCCCCCCGTCCTCGATGGCAGCCTGCTGCCCATCTGCCTGGGAAAGAGGCATCAAGTTGGAGCCTTCGTTTAGGGTCAACTCAACTGCTCGAAGATGTGACAATACTCAAAGTCATAGGGGAACAACATGGGATTTAAGGGCCAGCAGTCCCTGCCTGCAATTGTCAAACAGGCAGCCAGAGACTTCTTTCTGTCACAGAACAGTTCTCGCATGCTTGGGGGAAAGGTGTTGTTGCAAGCGTCTTGCACCCTGCAAATGGGGGCCAAGATCACACCGACTGCAACAACCGCTGGCTCAAACAGTTGCGCGGTTCCTTCCCCGCTGTTTCATGTTTTTGCGAGACGCTGACACTTCATAACAGATCAAAAAGAAGCATTGGGCACTCAATGCAAAAGCCGAGCACTAGGAAAGCAAGGAATACAAGTGATACCAAAACCGAAACAAAACCAACAAACATCCAGCAGGAACATTGCCCATGGACGCAACCATTCGTGGGGCTCCACAGTGAGTCGCATCACGTGCGCCAACACTACAGCCAGCTGAAGCCCAAAAAAATGCGCTGTGCCGTGCCCAAACGCGATCTTGGGATTTCATGGTTCTGTGGATGCGATCACAGCAAAAATACACTGTGCACACTTTAGCAATCTCCTCCATGCTCGTGCTGTCGGAACAAAATTTAACCTTCGGATTGCATTGTGTCTGCAGCAGCAACGACCATGGCAGAAGGGTAGGTCTTGCTCTTCAAAAGGCAGGCGACTGGAACAGCAGGCTCTTCAATATTTGCGGGTTCCCCCTCGACTGTTTGATAGTTTTGCGCTAACCACTCACACCAAATCAGGCAGATATGAACAGGTACGGAGAAAATTGAACAACAGAAGGGGATGGAATGGCAGCAACACGGGCAAAACATCGAGCAAGAACACTGCCAGTGGACGCAAAGCCGGGAATGGTTGAGCTCACATTCATAGAATGAAATTGTGCCTGCAGCAGCAAGGGCCCCAATGATTGCAAAGACATCAGAGTTTGCCCTCCCTCTCCCCGGCAGACGTGCTCTTTCAAAAGCAGGCTGGGGGCAAGCGCAAAATCACTCACAACGATCAACGGCACGTCTCAATCAATGTCGACCAGCAGGAATGACCTCCCCGAATGGCAAGGAAAGGCAACCATCCGTTCATGGGGGCTCCATACCGAGCCTGCCAACGACACGAACCGCCGCAATCTGCAAAAATGCTATCTTGGGATTTCCTGGTTCTCTGGATGCGATCAGGGCAGCCCCACCAAAACCATGTGCGGGCCGCGCGGGGAATTTCAGAACCGCACGCAACGATCAGAGTCCCAGAACGCAGCCGGCCGGCGGAAGCGACCGACTCCGCCCGCCTCGGACTCCTTCGTCCGGCCGCTTGCCTTCGCCTCCTTGACCTCCGCCTCCTGCACCTCCTTCTTCGCCTCCTGAACCTCCTTCTTCGCCTCCTGGACCTCCTTCTTCGCCTCCTGGACCTTCCTCTCCGCCTCCTGAACCTTCCTCTCCGCCTCCTGAACCTTCCTCTCCGCCTCCTGGACCTCCTCCTTGGCCTCCTGCACCTTTGTCGCATTGCCCGAGTCCTCCGCCGTCTCCAAGACGGTGGCAGCTCGAGCGAGACGCCTCACCGCCATCGCTTCCTGCTCCTGGGCGCTCTCAACCTGCCGCTGGGCGCTCTCAACCTGCCGCTGAGCGCTTTCAACCTGCCGCTGGGCAGTCTCAACCTGCCGCTGGCCCGTCTTCCGCTGCTGTCGCACCAGGAGCAGGTCCTGCCCAGGCCGACTCCCACGCCGAGCGCTCGAACATGCTCGAACGGACGGCCTCCTCCAATGGCGTTTTGGCTGCTTTGGCCTGAAAAGCACCCACAACAAACGTGCATTTTGAAAATGTCACGAAAGTGCAGCGTTCTGATGCACATGTCCCCCAGGCCTCGGCATTGTTGTCCTGGCAACTGCAATCGTCCAAACTTGCAAGCTTTGGGTCCGAAGGTCCTCTCGTGCCCTGGCACGCAAGGCGACTCCAGCATGCAACCAGCGCTGGCTCGATGCCTCACTAAGCTCGCAGGATGCGAAAAGGGTCAATCTGCTTGCGTTAGTGGACAAATCTGAAGATTGGGCCGGTGCGCCGTTGCGGTCCTCGCATCACAGCACAAGCAGGAACATTCGCAAAGAGGGACTTCACGGTCCTTCCGACCGGGAACTCCTCGCGAAAACTCGTGGGCGGCGGACAGGGACTCCTGAAGCCCGAACGAGTCAGCTGCCAACCCCTCAACGCTCCCAAGACTCAGGCCGTGCTCGGCCACTGCAATGAGCAACGCCAGCGCATTCCCAGGCTGAGGCACGCACCTTGCAAAACCACACAACAAACAGCGCAGCATATCAGCTTGCTGGCCTTGGCTTTTTATCCTGGCCCTCATCACAGCCATGGCCATTCCTGAACTTCACGGGCCTGCAAGGCCAATCCTACCGCTGGATACGTCGGCAATGTTTGCCCAGTGCCTTCAAGCATTTGATGAGCACTCTTGGGCGGCGGACGACTTCTTGCGTGCCAACATGTCCTTGCTGCTTCGTGTTATGTTGGTCCGCGTGTTCACGACCCTACGCGGCTTGTTTACTAGCACTCTGGTTGCCGCTGGCGCTGCTGGAGCCGTCAAAGACGCCACCTTGCCGATGCCCTTGCACTGGACTGACACTCAAAGCTCCTTTCGCTCCCCGAATGCCTCAAATTGCCTGTACAGTCACAAAGATCAACTATGCTATCTCGCCGCCGGGGGTCAAAAGGTAAGGGTCTGCCAATACACTTCAAGAGCATTGTGAACTTCGCATGGAGGCGGACACTGCTGATTTTTACATGGCTGGCATCCTTCATGGAAGAAGAGCGTGTCCCCGGTCCTGGCGGCAGCCGGCAAAAGATGCGAACTGGCTTCGGGTCGGAGGAGTCCTCTTGCGCAGCCCCGGCGCGCCGAGCGACTCCGGCATGCAACGGGTGCCGTTTTGCCACCTGAAAGAGCCAAAGTGCAATCTGCTTGCGCCTGCGGGCAACTCTGAGAACTGGGCCAATATGCTGTCCTGGCACTCAGCACGAAACAAGAACATGCAAAGGAGGGACTTCATGCTCCTTCAGCCCAGGAACTCCTCGAGCAAAGTCCTGGGCGGCGGCGACAAGGGACTCCTGAAACCCGAAAACCTTCGAAAAAAATGTGTCCCAAGACCCAGGCCGTGCTCGGCTGCACGAGCAGCGCCAATGCAATCCCGAGAAGGCAGAGGCACATACCTGGCCGCTGCCTACCGCGGGCACGGTAGCGTCACAAGCTTGCCAGCCTCGGCTTTTGGTCCTGGTCCGCATCATCGCCATGGCTATTCGAAAAGCGCTTGAGCGGCCTGCGATTCCTCAAGCACTGGCACTAGACCCATCGGGCAACCATTGCGAGCTGTTGTTGTGTCAGTGTTGATGAGTACCCTCGAGCCAAGTTTCCAGAGCAAACACAAGATTGACTGGCTTCTTTGGCAACACCAACGCACGGGTTTGGATGCTCCTCCTCCTTTTCACTCGCGGCCTGAAGGTCGGTCGGGCATCCGTCAGACTGGCTGACCCACATCCTGCCGCTGCATCAAAGTCCAAGCGAGATACCAAACTGGCCTGCCTGCAAAACAGGCAACCGAAATCGGCACCGCGGAAGTCACAAGCTGTCGTGCCCTGGAGGGCGGGGGTTTCAGGGGTCTCTGAAAGTTTTGAGGTTTCTGGGGCGCCTGGCGTTGCTGGGGTCCCTGAGGTTCCTGGGGTCCCTGGATGAGACGCTGTCAGAGGCAGGCATGGCTGCACGCGGAGCGCCAAGCTGCAGGCTCCGCCAGTCCTCCACGGACTCCTCCTGCAGGAGGCGTTCCAACGCCTCCATGCGCTCGGCGTCAGTGCGGCTCTTGGCCTGCGCCATCACTGCGTCGGCCACCTGCAGGGCCTTTGTGTCACCGGCCAAGACGGCGGCCTGCAAGTCTTCCCAGTCAGACTTGGCCGGCTCGCAGTCACCCTCCGCTTGCCGCGGGCAAGGTCGCCGAGATAGCCCGCAACTGCATTGAAGGACATAGCAACAAGATCCACAAGCAACTTTCAGATTTCAGCCAAACTCAGCTTCGCAAGCCCTCACATCCAAAGTCTGATCAACTCGTCTGCCAAATTCTGACCAACTCCTCCGAAAGTCACATGTGCACATGCTGCTGCTGGAATCTGCTGGGCACCAGGCGTCTTCTACTGGCCCGGCCTGGGTCGACGAGCGTCCCTGGGGTCCCTGGGGTCCCTGGGGTCCCTAGGGTCCTGGGGTCCCTGGGGTCCCTGGGGTCCCTGGGGTCCCTGGGGTTCCTGGGGTCCCTGGCGTCCCTGGGGTCCCTGGGGTCCCTGGATTTTCTCGGATTTGCGGTGGGCAGTATCTGAAGCACCCAAGGTCCCTGGAGACCCTGGGGTTTGTGGGGTCCCTGGGGGTTCTTGGTGGGCCCCCCTCAAACAAATCCGCACGAGCGTGCTTGGGGTCCCTGGGGTCCCTAGGGTCCCTGGTCCCTCTGAAAACCCTGGGTACCTTTGGGGGGGTGTTAAATCCGGGTCAGGGGACCAGGGACCCTAGGGACCCTAGGGACCCTAGGGACCCCGGGGACTCCGCAGGTCTTGGAAGGGGGGAGCCTCTGGGAAGTGGCGTGCCTTGAACCTCCATTGAACAAAGTCGTTCTGCTACGCAAACCAAAGCAACGTAGACTATCAGTCTAAAAATCTGCAAATCTAGAAATCTAATAATGTACAGATCTATAAATTGATAAATCTACAAATCTAAACATGTATGAATGTATAGATCTACAAATCTAGAAATCTAATAATGTAAAGATCTATAAATTGATAAATCTACAAATCTAAAAATGAATGAATGTATAGATCTACAAATCTAGAAATATAATAATGTAAAGATCTATAAATTGATAAATCTACAAATCTAAAAATCTATGAATGTATAGATCTACAAATCTAGAAATATAATAATATAAAGATCTATAAATTGATAAATCTACAAATCTAAAAATATATGAATGTATAGATCTACAAATCTAGAAATATAATCAAAAATCGATCTATAAATTGATAAATCTACAAATCTAAAAATCTATGAATGTATAGATCTACAAATCTAGAAATATAATAATATAAAGATCTATAAATTGATAAGTCTATGAATGTACACAAATAAATAGATCTGTATCTACTGAAACCGATACATGATCAAAAACCACTTCACAAGTCGCTTCCAGCAAAAAACCTGCAATTGACCGCAGGAATGTTCGTTGCACCCCACCTTGTCACCCCAGGTACCACAGGGTGTCCCCGGGTCCCTAAGGTCCCTAGGGTCCCTAGGGTCCCTGGCGTCCCCTGGGGTCCGCAGGGTTTCCAACGACGCTTCAGATTGACGGATGCTTGCGTCAAGAACGCTAGGGAACCTTCAGGGACCCCAGGGACCCTAGGGACCCTAGAGACCCACAAACACAGGAAGATCCACGTGGCCTCACCAGGTCAACTTGGCAAATTGGACCAGACCATGAAAACGCCGCGCAACCTGCACAGGAGTCCTGTAGAACGAATTGTGGATCCACCTTGCAAGCGGCCAAACAAAATGTGAAAAAAAAACAACTCCAAAGGGCCGCACCGCGAGAAGATCTGCACGTCGCAGTGGATCCTGGCGCCTGGCATGTGACGTGATTGCTCGGCGGGTCAAACATAAAGGGAGCCTGACAGACGGTGAGTTGAGCAAGAGCCTCACGGATCACCTCAAAAGATCAGCTGCACTTGGCGACGGCAACGGAAACAGCAAAAGGTCCGGGCAATGTAGATCCCGCGGTTAAACAAGCCTTGGCACGAGAAGCAAGGCTTGTTGGGCCCAAACCTCCAAGATCAGTTGGGCTTGGCAGTGACAGCGCAAACAGCCAAGCGAAGGCCCAGGCGGTAGATCTCGAGGTCACAAAGCCTGTTGCGGGACGCCGTTCTCCAACTCCACATGGCCGGCACACTGTACGTGGGGTCGAAACCACTCCTTGCACCCGCGAGCGGTTCCCCCCCCACCGCCCCGGACCCAAAAGTGTCCCCAAAAGGCAGCGGCAAGTGCTCACACCCGACAACGTAAAACCGTGAGAAACAACAGCAAGAACCTGTCATTTTTTTGTGCGCAAAACCCGTGCAAAAAAAGAGTTTCCGGAAAAAATGACAAAAAACACCCCTTTTCCGGAAATGGCTCTCGAGCCGCTTGATCTGGGGCCGACACTTTGGTCGGACCGTTTGTTTTGTCCGCCCTATAAGAAAAGAGACCGGCAACCCAGTCAAATTAACTGCCATCGCCAGCAACATGACAGTCGGGGAGGTGCAGACCTCTCGGCGCCCTTGAGGTGCGAGGGGAAGCCCATAGTCTGGCAATCCGAGTGGACCCACATGCTGTGGGAGCCCAGCAGCTTTGGCGAGGACCAAGGACCCAGGCAGAACGTGTGCCTTGCCATGGAGAGAGGCTCCGAGGCCTGGGGGGCCTGGGATGACTTCGAGAAGAAGTGCGTCAACGAGCTGTCTTTGCGGTCCAACCGCATCTGGGGCGACTGCGGCGATGCAAAAGACAGGTGGCAGAGCTGCCTCAAAGAGTCCTGGCAGGGCGCCACCTTCCTGAAGTGCAAGCTGGACGCACGGAACGTCCGTTTCTGGGACACCGACGGCAACAAGATCCAAAGGCCCGAGGCCCTCGCCGGCTGCGAGCGCCAGGCCCGCGTCGAGGCCAGGCAAGTCTGGATCATGGGTAAGCAGTGTGGTTTGGTGTTGGAAGTGAGGGATCTACAGGTGAAGCCCGGTACGGGTGGGGACTCCTGTCCATTCTAAACCGGCGTTCTTTTGGTCGTGGATTGCCGACGTAAAAGAACACGCCCGGAAAAACCCGCCGAGGCGTGGAGAGAACGGACCGGGAGATCCCAGGGACCTCAGGGACCCCAGGGACCCCAGGGACTTCAGGGACCCCGGGGATTTCAGGGACCCCAGGGCACCCAGCACAACCAGGACTGACAGATGAGACTGCAAGCACCACACAACCGCCGAGACATGTTTTTTGTGTGAAAAATAAGCACATTTGGCTCGCAGACGCGCAAAAAAAACTGCACATCACATAGTTTCCTTTGTTGCCCGTGCTCCCCCAAACGCATCCTGTTTATTCCCCTGTTCCCAAAAAAAGGCATAAAATGGCGGCCAGGGCTCTCTCTGTTATTTGTGAAATCTAAAACCGCTCACAGCGCATCTTCAGAGGTTATTATTCAGCAAATGTGGATTCTGCAAAAATTTGTTGGTTTTGCGCGGTGCGGCCACAGCCCTTCTGCTTGCACTTCTGCAAGGGTTTTCCGCCTGCTTCAATATGCAGGCAAAACGGGTCCTAGTCGCATTCTGTGCGTCTCGGAAGTTTAAGTTGCCCGGGCTTAAAGTGCTGTTTCTGGCTTGTAAGTGCGTTTCTGTTGCGGAGCTTTGTGGCTCGAAAAGCATGATAAATGCTTTCTAAGCGCAACTCAGAGCAGAAGGGTGGTTTTCTTGGCCTCATTTGCTGCATGTGAGCCTTGGGTTGCGTCTCCGTCAATCCTCCGGCAACAGGATTGCTGTGCTGGGTTAGGGCAGCCGCAGATAGGCCACGTATCCGCCTGTGTGGCTGCGATTTTCAAGCCTTTGCGCGAGATTCAGGGCCGCTCGTGGGGCGTCCGCAGCGCGAGAATGTGGAGCTGGGCCGCAGTTTGCCTGCAGTCGGGCATCGTCGCAATTCTAGTCGTTATTCTAGTCGGTATTCTAATCGTTTTGTAGTCGTTATTCTAGTCGTTATTCTAGTCGTTATTCTAGTCGTTATTCTAATCGTTTTGTAGTCGTTATTCTAGTCGTGAATTCGGAAGCCTCAAGCGTTTCCTAGTCGGTAGTCCAAAAAAATATTGAGAGATAAGAAAGGCATTTTCCTTTCAAGCCAGAGCCAGTTCATGAATAATTGTGTTTTACGTGGTTTCGTGGAATTACGACTAGAATAACGACTAGAATAATTAGAATAACGACTAGATGACGACTAGATAACGATTAAAGTCAGAACCACGCGCCGAGCACAGTTGGCGCCCGTGCGTTGGCGAGTCTTGAGGCGCTGTGGCAGGCGAGGGTGGTTGACAAGTCTAGTCTTGAGCCCCAATTTCAATGTCAGGCGAGTGTAAAAGTCTCAGGCGAGTGTAAAAGTTGCCTTGTTCCATGCAATGAAAGTCTGGAGGGGGGGGCGGTGGCGCGTGTTCCAACACGCGCGTGGCAATTTCTAGTGAAGGGAGAACGTTCAATGACAACCTCTCTTTGCCCGGGCCAAGTTTTGGTCTAAATGCAAAAACGTCGCCGCTGCAGCAGGGGCCTCCACGGTACTTCAGCTGCCGGCTTCCGGAACTTGCGTAACGCAAAAGGACGAATGGGGAAGATCAAGCTTTTCCCCACGCCTGAGTACACCAGCAAGCAAGCCTCGGACCCCGTGGTGCCCCTGGTGCCATGCACGGGCATCTTCCTTGGGCCCAGCAAGTCGGGCAAAACTGTGGCGCTCATCAGTCTCATCCTGGAGCAGTACAAGGGCGTGTTTGAGCGGATCTACGTTTTCAGCCCAAGCGTCAACATCGATGATGGCTGGATCCCCGTCAAGAAGTACATCGAGCAGGACCTGGGGGTGAACACGGAGCGTGAGCAGGCTGTTTCTGGCCTTGCATGGGCGCAGGCGCTCCCCGAGGATCCCTCCAGTCTTCTTGAGTGGCGCAGTGGTTGACGTGTTGAGCCCCGTACCCAACTCGCCGTCCGGGCAGGAATCGAGCCGCGTGGAGTAAGAAGCGCTCAGTTCCTTGACCGACGCCTTAGCCACTGGACTAAGGCGTCGGCGAAAACATATGTAAACATGTTTGAAGGACCTGTCACCGGCAACATCCCGGAGGTCCTGGACAACGGAGAGGTAACTGACGGCACGCACGTCACCGCAGGGCAGCTGGCCCTGGCTCTGACGCCCTACGCGCAAGTAACGGACCTGGCGGTGAACACGGCAGCCTCCGGCAACAACGCAGCGGCCATCCAGTCCCTGGACGACCGGGTCACCGCAGAGCTGGCCTCAAAGCTGGACAGCAGCGCGCTGGCGCCGGCAATTGCGCCTCTTGCCACGGCGGCGGCCCTGGCCACCACGGACGGACAGGTGGCCGCGCACGGAAGCAGCATCGCAGCGCTGCAGAGCTCGCTGACCACGGGTCTCTCCAACAAGGCAGACCAGTCGGCCTTCGACGTGCTGGAGGGCGTGGTGGCCACGAAGAGCACCCCGGACGGCATGGACCTGAAGCTGTCCAACTGCAGCACCACGGCGGCCATGAACGATTCCATCGCCTCGGCCAATAACGCGACGCTGGCCACGGCGGCGGCCAACTACGGCCTCAAGACGGTGGTGGACCAGCACTCCCTAGACATAGCGGCGAGGATCACGCCGCTGGAGGTAGACACCAAGGTGGCCAACGCTCTCCTGGGGGCCGTGTCCGCCGCAGCGCTGGCCTCCGAGCTCGCAAGCAGAGACGCCTCCATCGCGGGGCTGCAGGCCTCCAAGGCGGACGCCAGCGCGCTGACAGCTTACGCCCTGCTCTCGGCCGTCGACACTTCCTCAGAGGTGGACTCTAAGATAGCAGCGGCCCTCCTAAACGCAGTCACCACGGCAGCCCTGGACGCCGCCCTCGCCGGCAAGGCGGACACCAGCGCGCTGGCCTCCCTGCTCTCCACGGTGGACGGGTTGGACACTCCGCTGGAGGTGGACACCAAGATAGCAAATGCAGCGCTGGGCCTTGCCACCGAGGCCTTCGTCGCAGCGCAGCTTGCTAGCCGGGACACCGGCATCTCGGCGCTCCAGGCCTCCAAGGCTGACGCGGCGCTGCTGGCCTCATACGCCACGAACGCCGCGCTCTCCGCCAGCGAGACCACGCTCCAGAGCGCCCTCGACGCAATCCTCGCGGAGCTCGCCGCCCTGCAGCTTCCCGGAGGCGGAGTTGTTAACGCGCCGGCCTGGGCGGGCTTCACAACTTGGGAGCTCCTTCGCGGAAGCAACGTCGTTCGCAACCTGCATCTGGAGGCTCCTCTCTCTGCTGCGCTGGCCAACGGCGACGACACGCTGAGCATCACGGCAGACTGCCACTCCGTCGCAGCGGCGGACGCGGCCCTCGCGGCTGCGCTGCTGGCCTACTACACCTCCTCACAAGTGGACACTCTGTTGGCCGACTACCGAACCGGAACGGCGCAGGACACGGAGACGACCAGCGCCATCACGGCCGCGCTGCTGGCCTACTACACCGCGGCGCAGGTAGACGCGCTGTTGGGAGACTACCGCACGGCGAGCGCGCAGGACACGCAGACGCAAGCCGCCATCGCGGGCGCGCTGCTGGCCTACCGGACGGGCCCGGACCAGGACGTGTTCACAACCAACCAAATCACCTCGGCGCTGGTGGCGTACCGCCCAGCCGCCGACCAGGACACGGCAACGGCCTCAAGCATCGCCGCCGCCCTGCTCAGCTACTACACCATCGCACAAGTGGACGGTCTCCTTGCCAACAAGCTCGGAGTCTCGGAGGCGGCCTCGGCCCTGCAAATAGCCGTGCGCTTTCCGGACGACGGAGGGGCCGACGAGGTGGTGGCCGCCATAGGAGAGCAGATCCTGGCCCCCACGGACGTCTCGCTGTCAAACTGGACGGTTCGCCCCAGCGGCTGCAGCGTGGTCCTGGCCACGCACACCGCGGGCGCAGTGAGCGTGGACGGCTACACCCTGACCCTGGCGGTGAACCCGTGGAACATCGTGCGCACCTACAACTTGACCCCGGGCCGAGAGCTCCTCTTCGCCTACCGCTACCGGCTCGGCACGGCCTCCAACTTCGTGGTGTACATGTCCGAGGCAGACAACGTCTACGACCCCCTGTACGGCAGCTTCGCGGGAGACGAGGGCGCCTGGAGCACGGCCAAGATGTACTTCACAGTGCCGCCGAACGGAGTGGCGAAGCTGCACTTCGGGGCGCACTTCCAGGCGCCGGGCCTGCCCAACCAGACGGCAGGAACGGTGGACGTTTACGGCCTCCAGATCCTGGACGCAACCCTGGAGACCGGCAACACGGCGGAGGAGGAGGAC